CTTCCCAAATAAGCCAAACAGTATTATATAACATAAGGAGGCACAAATCCATAAGTTGGGGGCTAAACTTTTCATGTTTGCCTGTAGCAAGAATAACGTGTAGATGTGCTGGAGCAAAAATCATACCAAAATGAGCAAACATTGAATTCCAAACAGAAGTAAAAGGGCACTCGATAAACAAATGATCTATATTCTTAATAGCCATCCTGCAGAAAGAAAAAAAAACATAGAAGCAAGAGCAATACCACACCACTGAAGAAAAACTTCAGTAAGAAGTCTACCATGCATCACTTTCCAAACAAGAAAAGATTTCAGTGGCTCAGACTTAGGACATGTGAACTAATAAGAGACCGTAACAATAAAAGTGCCAAAAAAGATGGAGCCCAAATCAAGAGATCTTCCGCATTAGGATCACGAAAAAAAGAAATATGCTTAACTAGGTCACAAACAATCGGGTAATGAAATATTAGGAGAGGTGGCAGGTGCCACTCGCCATCAAAAATTAATTTGAAACGATCTCACACATATGTGGTGTAAAGAATGGTGAAGACCAAAATACTTTGCTAGGGGCTGCCCGATAAACATATCCCACAAAAAAAAAAGGAAATCGTTCTCTTTGCCAAGCAAATAACGGGAATCATAAAGAACTTCAGGCAAAACAGCCTTGTTGCCAGGCCAAATAAAAGAGGAAACAAAGGAGTTGCAAATGGATCCATTGGTTCACCAATCATTGATGGTTTTAGAATTGCTAAGCCTACGTTACACTCGACAAAACTACTTAAGCCATAACATACATGAAAATGTATTGTGCAAGAATCCACAGTTTCTCTTTTTTGTTATTTATTTACTTCACTAAAATAAAAGGAACAAAGAAAGATAAAGAATAAATATAAAAAATTAAGGTAAGAAACGACACTTTGATTCTATATCATAGAAATCAAAGAGTTTGATCTATTATGTGCCTCTGCCATCTAGCATTAGGTAGACCTCATACAATAATTGTCCTAGCTTTACCGTATCTTTTGTTTCGCAAGGGCCAACTTGATCCTCTTCCCCAGGGATCCCCAATATGAGAACCCTAGGAGAGCCACCAACTCCAACTACGTTCATTTGTACGATCCATACTAGATTGACCAATTTGCCCATCCTACCTCCTTTTGTTTTTGACAGCACATCTTTGTCTCAGGACATTAAGCACTTGTTACACAACAACCCCTCAAGAGAAAGGGCCAAGCAAGGGGCACAAGCGAATCCTACCTCCCCTCCAAAATCGGTCTCGAAGAAATCGAATCAGAACGAAATAGAAGATAAAAAATCTCCCAACCTTTTTTTTCAGCAAGAAAGCCTTATTGAGTAGCACCCACTAGTTGTTTAGGCCAAGACCCCATTTCCACCATAGGTTTACAACATTGACTCCATACAACATTGACCAATTGCCCATTCATCAAAAGAGCCAAAGCAAAGAAAGTTTCGACTACTAGTCTCAGTTTTACGAAGTAAAAAGACTGGCCATCAATAAATTGTGGAATGAAAGTTGTAGGCAGCATGCTAGCCAAAATGGATTTTAATAATTGGAGAGTCGATCAGCCAGCATAGAAATTTAAAGTGACCCCTTCCATGCAGCAACTTCGCCTTGATCTTATTATCTACGATGCCTAGAACAAAATTAACGCGCGGTCTTTAAAAAATGGGAACACCAAAATAATGAAAAGGAACTGACCATACCTTAATGCCAAGATTTAGAACATCAAGACATCTTAAAGAGAACATGAGAGAATCACACCCCTTGAGAGAAAATTGGCATCAGTATTCCAAATTCACACCAATTAGAAATACCAGATACAGGCACATTTTCGGAAAAAGGATCACTTTTGACGAAGCCCGAGTTCAACCCATTGCAAACAAATTGGACATCCAGAATCTTGAGAACAACAACAAAGCTTTCAACCCAAGAAAAAACGGATGGCAAACAGGAACTCATCCGACATGAGTTTTGTTACAACTGTAAGTATTTCTAGTTGTCACATCTTTAGATTAGCACCCACCATTAGTAGCATCAACAGTCAATTCAACTCAATGCATCTGTATCAAAGCATATACAATTTCTAAACAACATTTTCATTTCACTTTTTTATTTTCTTCTTGTCTCCCATTCATTCTTTAAATGTAGTATTATTTATTTTCTTTTATGTAGTCTCTTATTTAGTAAATTAGAGATTATTAAAAATTAGATCTAGAGTTCTTGCTCCAGACATAATAAACGGTTACGTATAGGCAAGATATTTTAGATCTTAGAGAGTTCATGATCTCTACTTTCAAGTTACACAATCACACTTAATGTTAAATACTAAATATAACACTCTCCTATGAGTGTGTAAATACTAAATACTCAAGTAGTAAGCACATTTGATCTTTAGACAAATGTAGAAGCAATTGATGATGAAGTCGTCTTGAATCCAATCACTAATGCTCTGACACATAAAAATTAAGTAGGAAACCCAATAACTAAGGCAATAACACAGAAGCAGCCTGATAGATACCTAATAGTTTTGGTGTGCGTTATTGTGATGATTGGCTTTAGTAAAATAAGAGATTGTTGGACTTGTGCACTAAACGTCAATTTTGTAGTATTAGATCTAATGTTATATTGGATCTTTTGTAGTATTAACTAATTCAATTTTAGCATAATTTTGAGTGTGCGACCAGAGAAGACCTCTTAGAACACACGTCCACCTTTATTGTTGCATCCATACTAATAACACATTATGTGTTAGTTTTTACCTACATTACATTTCAGTGACAAAGGACGTGGTGTAATTTTAGGTTTATCACTTATCACGATATAGACAAAAAACAATTTCATTCTACCACATAAGTCTTATCTCGGGTATATATGGCTCGTGGTAATCCACCACTATTCAAATTACCACCAAGTTTCCGTTGTTAAAATTAAATAATTTTGGCCCGTTGTTAAATCGAATAATGACATTTATATTTGTGATGAAATATCATAATTACCACGAGATATGCTCGTAGTGGTTATTTCAAATTACCACATCGTCTCTTTTGTGAATTCATCACGCCTTTGGCCCGTGTGGATGTTTTTATCTTCATAATTAAAAAATTATTTGGAGGAGGCGGGAGATTAAAAATTTGGAGGGCTGCCAAAAATTTTGGCATGGCACCTAAAATCTCTAACTCCCTATTTTCAAAGAGTGCGCGTTAGCTCTCCCTCCTCATTTTTTCATCTCTCTCTTACAACTTCTCTGTTCTCTTTAGAAATTTTCCAAACGCCTCCACCACTTTGCATACTCGAGCCCAATTTCAACCTTTTCGGAATCAGAAACAAAACCATCTCTAATTGCAAACCCGGCGAGTTCCTCGCGAACTCGTCCTCCTTCCGTCGACTGCGCAACCAAGTCCACGGCTTCTTCTGTTAGGTAAAAATCCCAAAGCGTGTTCCAATATGCTCATGTATGTGTTATGTATATGAAAATCCATACGAGAATTCTCTGAAATTCGATCACGGCGGGCGTGGCTCCGATGGCTCCTATTTAGATGATAGGTATAGGGGATACAAACGAAGCCGATCTGATTTGGGTTCGGATATCCATATGGGAAGCGGTATGATGTTGGTCCCGATGCGGGTATGGAGACAGTGTTTATGCTTACGGAGGTGATAAGGTGGAGCCGTATGGGTCGTGATTTTGAGTGCCCAAAATGGAATGTAGACATTCTGCATTTGAAGTCTATTCGTTTGTTAGCATAGAAGGTTTAATGTTTAGGAGGGATAGACAATTTCATTATGATAGGTTCGGTTTAGTTATAATTGTCCAATAGCCGGCAAGTCCTCCCATATTTGTGTGCAAATCATCACTCTATCGCAACTAGTTAGTCATGTAAGATGATTTTTAATGAATTAAGATGATTTTTAATGAATTACTCTGGCTTCCTTTCTTCGATTCTACTTCTGAGAAAAGCAGGTACGGCAGTGCGCCTCTCTGATATCTGCTCTCACCACCATCAAGGTTTAATCATCAAGTGAAGTATCAGAGCTTGGTTTTCAACTTTCAGACTTGCACACCAGGTGTTTGTTTTTTGTTCTCAAAGAAAACTGATTTGTAACCGTGCCTTGGTTTTCAACTTTCATTGCTTTCTTTGATTCTCCATTTTCTATTTATCCATTATCCCCAGTTTTTCCCCTCAACACCGTTACAAGATGTGATGTAAGTTCATTTTACTTTAGCATCAAGTTCGTTAAGGAACTTTTAATTTATGTATTGAGGTAAAAGTAATTTGTATGTTTATTTTTCTTCAAATGCAATCAAATAGTTACACTGCCAACACCTTTTTGGATAAAGTGACTGCTGCAACTGTACAGGTTGGAAACTTGGGAATTTTGCCTTTCCCTTTGTCCTAAAAGAATAATGGTCCCCCTTATTTATTGACAACATGTGATTAATTACCTAGGTGATGTTTTCCTTGTTTATGCTCCTGTTATTTGATATGTTGTCATGTAGTAAATATAAACATTGATACTTGTTTTGAGATGTATGTGATGCTTTGGTTCCATGTGAAAATTATTGAAGGTGGGCTGGAGTAGTTATGTAGTAAGTATAAACGTTGATACCTGTTATTTGATATACATAAGAAAATTAAAATTTCAATATATATACATCACTCTACCCTCTTTAGAAATATAATTAGCTAGAGTAGTTATGATTTCGTTATGTACTCAAGTTCGAATTGTTCTTCCGTAATTTAGTGGATTTAGTGTAAAACAAATCTGCATTCCTTGTAGTTTAGATGAATTTGTGTAAAAATAGCTTAAATCAAAAGAAAAACAGTTTGTTATGTAAGTTAAATGGTATCATAGAATTAAAATGTTGTGTCAATCATGACCTAGCTAGGGTTTGGTGCTACTATATTAGTATTAATTTGTTGAGTTAATCACATTTATGTACTTATATAATTGCAGAGGAAGGCACCAGAATGGCTAAGAGCAGTAGCAACGAAGAAGATGAATGTGATTAAGGGTGCACTGCAGCAAATGTGGCATAGAAACAGGACGAGATGTCTGAGATGAACGATTACCATACGGCAGAGCACAGTGGATGATGTGCTGAGGGCCAAGTCTATGGTTGACTTTGGCAAGAAACAGCACCGTACCCTAAACATTACTGTTGATCTTGCTTCCATACACATTGATGCCCTTGATGTAGTCAGCGAGAATGGCCATGAGGTAAACCCTAACTATTTAAGTATTCTAAATTGAGTGTTGTTTCTTGTTACCTGTTAGGGATATGCAAAAAGGATAGAAATTTCTACAGCAAAGTCAATTTACAAACAAACAGTTCAGTGTAAGAATGTCACAGAAAATACAGATTTTCAACTTCCAAGTAAATGGTGATTAATTGATTATGTAGCATGCAATCGTGTACATTGGAACATCCCAAGGAGTGTATGGCGCTCGGGCGACAATCAATGTGTGGTCCCCTTTGATCGAACACGTAAACGAGTTCAGTTTCGTACACATCCAGTTCTCAATTACTCATTGACGCAATCTCATGGTTTTGCAGACTCATGTGAGAACAAAAGGTGATGATCTACACGAATGCATAAAGGTATGGATGAATTCTGATATCATGAATTTTGATCGCATTTTCATTTATCCATTTAAGTTCCTAAGAGTTTCGATTGCAATTTAATATAATCATTGTATATTAACGTAGCTGTCAATGTGCTACATTTGACAGAGTCTAGAGTGGTTGTTAAAGTATATATGAGAGTATCCTAGCAGGTAAAGGAACATGTAATTTTTCAAGAGTTCTATTCACTTTTCTTGATTGAGATCAAATGTATATTTCTACCTCTACAGGTACAGGATTTTTTTCTTAATCCATATGCTTATGTCCATCCAGATAGAGAGAGGTAATAATTACTGAGGCTCAAGCATTAGGGGTAGTAATTCACTCTCAAGGTCCTTTGTTTGGAGGTGTTCAAAGAAATATGAAGTCTTCAAGTGACAATGTCGTTGTTTGTTAGAGGTCTCTAGATAGTTTGGTATTTATTTGTATATATCTCATCGTTTTTTTGTTAGCTTTAGTTTAGTGTACAACTGTAATGTTTGAATGTATGATTTTTTATTTAATTGTTATATTATAGTAAATGTGTAATTTTGTTTATAAATATTATATAATACATTTATTAAACAATATTTTTTTTTTAATTTTTAGAATTTTTTTTATAACGGGCATTAGCCGTGGTCAATTTGTAATCCACAACGGTTATAATGCACGTGGTGTTAGATCTTAATCTACAATGGGCACAATCTGTGGTTATATTACAATTGACAACGGGCATAACCCGTGGTAGAATCTGTGACTTTCTATCACATCCAGATTACTAACGGGCACAGTGTCCGTGGTGGATTGTAATCTACCACGGGCATCGACCGTGATAGATGAGCTTTTTTCTACTAGTGTATGAAAGTTGTTATTGTGAGACAAAGCAACTTTCTAGTAAACTTTATGGTATGTAATAACTAAAATATAACAGTAAAAAATCTGGTATGTAATAACTAAAATATAACAGTAAAAAATCACCGGAACGCAGTAAATTTTGAGACAAAAGATTATTGAAACTCAGACTTTGATACAATTTTTAAACAGTGGCAAGAAGTTCCCGCTCTATAAAACAGAAGCATAACTTGTAGTATCGCCCGATTTTGGTTGCACTCAAGCCATTACAGAGAGGAATTTCATGGCAGTTGTTACTGATATACCAATTGGCAGGTCCAGCAGTCAAACAAACTAAGGTGCAATTTAACATTTTACATATGTGAAATGGTGAAAGGATCTGAAATTTTTAAAGGGGAAGATTAAAATAATCAAAACGAATGTTGGAAAATATGTTGGCACCAAGAGGGGTCAATTTCAATTTTGACCCAATCATGTAGAAAGGAAGAGACGGAATTTTATTAGATATCACCTAAACCGTTATAGGCTTATACAACCGACACTATTTAATGAGAAAAGACTTTGTTGTTGTTATTATATTTGCAAATGGCTCATAACGTATTGGATTCAACTTCATTCATCTAATCTTTTGGGACTGGTTTGTTAGATAGAATTGATTTCGATAAGACTATTACTAAATTCAAGACATTTTGAAGAAAAAATGGATGACAATTCTCATATTTTGTCCAAGTTAAAGGTTACTTATGAAGAAAGATATATTTCCTAATCCTCACAATTCACAAAAATGGATAGATTTAAATGGACAACTTTTCTTCGTAAGTAACCTTCAACTTGAACAAAATAAGAAAGTTGTCATCCATTTGTTCTTTCAAAATTTCTCACTCGAAGATCGGAATGGAAGAAGCAAGTTGTATTAATGAATAGGCATACCCAAGTCAATTCATCTAATCTCATGGTACATTTCTAACAAATTACTCACAAATTTCTCGTCCAAACATATGACTGATTTGGGATTGTGGTGATTTAAAAAAAAAATAGCTTTTTAAAAAAATCCGGAACATCAAATGTGTTTAGTAAAACAAACAAAAAAAAGTGCTTTTTTAAAAACTAGTTGTCATTGACAGTATAGAAAAGCAGAAGTAGGGTTTACCATGCTTCTAAAAAAGTGTTTTGTTTTTACCAAAACATAATAATCAATGCCCATTTAATGAAATTTTCAAATGACAAGTATACCCTTACATATTTTACAAAATTACAATTTTTGCCCCTACATTATTGTCTTTGTTAATTATTATATTATATAAATGCTATATCATTTTTAGTCATTTAACATATTTACAGTAGCAATTTATATAAAATTTACCAAATGCTCATAAAACTTTTTTTTTGGTTAAAAGCAAATTTACAAAAAAAAACAAAATTTACTAAACATTCAACAACTTATTTTACAACTGTTTAGTTCTCACAACACATCAGAAACAATATTTTTAAAAGCACAGCAATATCAAGACAAGGGGTGGTCCTCTATTTGCTTGCCCCGGTCCCATCACAACATTATTTGGATGAAAATCCCTGACCGCATCCGGCCTTTTAAGGCTAGCCTCCATAACAAGTCGGACTAGGCTAGAGCCAAACATGTGCTAATAAGGGTCAGACTCAGCGGTGGTAGGTCGCCACCACACTCTATAATCCCGGGCCCACAGCCAAGTAACCAAACAGAGTTGTTGCATGTTGGGTGACAGCCCACAAGAGTGCCTCTTGTCTCAAAGCCAGGGAACTCCTAGAACTTATTTTCTATTTTCTGATTTGAATATCATTCACTGCAACTGCAAAATCAACCAAACCAGGAGGCTGAAAGGGCAATGCCACCAGAAAGGAGGGCCCTATACTTATAGGGTACCCCTTCAATGATCTATCAACAAATGTGTTTTGGAAGGTATCTCTATATTATCATGATGGAAGGTTCACAACCATCATTGACTTGCCTTTGTCCCCACTGCTTTTGCGGTCTCTGGACAGACAGATCCTCCTCACTAGAATTGTACTACTCCACAATCCTGCAAAAGATATACCCTCCCCTACCTCAACCAATAATGCAAATATTAACCGGTTTCAAATCATTGGTCTATTGCATCATCACGCATGTAGTTGAAGTAGTTAAGAATATTTACCGAGGTCTCTTGGAACCCAGAAAGCACCAAGATAAGGTGAGATATTAACAAAGCATCAATTACTTTAGAATTCATAAAGGGTGAAACTATAGATACCAACAAATCCACACTAGCCAAACTGGCTAATACCTATGCATATTCAGATCACCATGTCTCTAGTTTGTAACCCACGAATAAAAAAACAATTAAAAGGAGGATAAGGAACAAGAAAAAGAGAGAAACTGAAAAGATCACAAATGGTTGCTGCAAGTTCATGTCTTGTCTCCTCTGTTTGTAGCTTTGACAATTTTACAGGGATGGAACTGGGGAGCTTGCGAAGGTCGAACCTAGCACGTCATCATATATGCTTGCCCCATCAAGGCTACTCTTCTTGATCTCACCTCCTCTTGGGCTGCTCCCTGAGCTGCTGTTTGAAAGCGAACAGAAAGTTGACTTCTGCAAGACACCAGTTGGGGAAGATCCCAACTGAGAGTTGCCATCCCACCCTTCATTTAAGAGGTTAAGCGGCGATGTTGAGTTATTGCAGATCTTGCCACTGCTGGTGGTGTTGGTTATGACCTCTCCTAAAGGACCCCCCATTGAATTTCCCCAGGGGATAGGTATCCAATTAGTTTGTTTCTGGATTGATTCGCTAAGGTCATTGCTCATTCCCAAATTCATTTGGGCAGGCACAAACTCCCGGGATAGCCTCAGCGGTGAGAGCGCAAGTTTCTCGTGCGTTGGGGAGGAAGAGGATGATGAGAACTCAGAGGATGCCATTGGGATCGACATTGATAGCTGCGTCCAGTCAGATTTTATTTCTTCAGGCCAAGTAGAGACTGAGTGACTGGACTGGTCCTTAGGCCAATCATCCATGAACTGGCGAAGCGGATGTTGGTCTTGAGTTTCTTGATCACTGAAGTCTAGGAAAGAACCACCAAAATCTTTAGAGATGTAAGAGTTCCTATGTGAAGGGTTGAGAAGTGAATAAGTAGAAACAATTCCAAACTCTGATTGGGAGGATTCTTCCACTAGGAATTCTTGTTTTCCAAGTTTAGATGTCGAATTGTTGGATTTCGGCTTAAGGGTAGGAGCAGACATCACGGAAAGTCCTCGTGGATCTTGCATCCTGCAAAACACACTATCTAATTGATTAGAAAATGCCCAACACAGTGCATAAAGTAAAGTAGAAGAGTGAAACAGAAACACCAGTAAGAAATATGCACAGCCATTATAGTTACATTACAATTTCAACGATAAAGGTCCTAATTCGAGTAACCAAATTAGTAGGACTAGTCACTGTCACCAAAGTAAAGATGGAATAATGGGGTCTCCAAATAAAGTAAAGGAAAAAGGTTGTTTTAAATCGAAATCTTATAATAAAGCTAGAAGGCCTAATCAGAACTAAAACAGATAAGAAGCTCTAATTTTTCACCTGTTGACAAAGGCATCTGCAGAAGAAGGATTGGCAGCAACAGCAGTCTGCAATCTTTTGAACTGCTGTGGCGCGGTTGTGATGCTGTTGGATGCGCCATTGCTTGCCATCACGGATGTTGACATTGACGAATTCATAGGCACCCTCTTTGAATTACTGGTCCCAGAGACGGCCTGGCCAGGCTGGCCTTCCACAGGCTTTCTTGAACGATGGCGGCCCCTGTTAATATGCCTTTCACAATACTTCTGATCTGCAACAGCATCTCTCGAGCAACGCCATTTCTTCCCATCGGTTCGGCGACACCTCCCAGGTTCGGGATCGTTGTTGCCAGAGAAGCCCAGATGGTAAGCGCCCCACGCTACTATATCAATATCAAAATCACAACATATAGAGGCATTGGAAAATAGACAAATCAGACAAAAGGGAAAACAAGAAGAACACGATTTCTGAATCAAACCTAGCATTTACATACTCATTGCAAGCACTATCCGGGACCGAACTTTCGAACAACATACATAAAAATTGGAAATTTCATTCTTTGAACAAATAGTAGTTTAAGTTTAAAGCTTAAAAATTAAATTTCAATACAGATGCATTCGACGAATCGAGAAATTGTTGAGCAGCGATAGAAGGAGCTTACTTGAGGTGGGATTAGAAGGACCAGACAAGCCATAAGGGTAGAGGGGTTTCTTGAGAGGTATGAGCAGATTGGAAGGGACAGGCACATTTGAAGTCATGTACTTGTAGATCAAGGCCTGGTGCTCCAGCTCAATCCACTGAGAAGGAGTGAAGGGTCCTCTAGCCCCAGTCAAAGGCCCATGCATGCTCAGATTCAAGCTTCCATAACCTGAAACAAAAAAAATCATTTGTATCAACTATTTGTACGATTTACTATATTTACATTTAAACCGCGAAAAAAACTATAAAAAAAAATTAAATTAAAAATCATGCCAAACAAGTCTCGTCTGCTAGTCCTATTTTCTTTTCCCATTTGGTTTCTATCAATCTTTGAGCTGTTT